AGGCTGGACAATGTAATCTAAGTGGCTTTGTTTTGGGTTTATATTATAAGTCATTTTAGAATAATCTGCAATCACTGGAATTTGTGCCATTTTGTTTTAGATAAAAAGATTTTTTATAAAAATTCATCTAAATTACTTCAAGTTATCAGATGGATTATTATATTTTCACCTTAAACTCAATCTGTCACTGAACATTAAAGTCAAGCAAGAATTAATATATAAAAGTCTGTAATTTCCATCCACATTTGCAGACTAGAATCGCTCACTATGCAAGCTGCACACTACTTTGCACATATTTGTAATTTTTCATAATAAATTTAATGTATATTGCTTGTTTGTTTTTGATCTTATTGACATCAAAAAAAGCGTTTTGGCAGTGTTAAGTCTAGTAAGTTTGAAGTTAGACATTAGACAATAATGTATTCCATATAAAATCTTGTATACAAGTAGCATTTGCGTGTGCATGCTTCAAACTATCCATAGTGATCCCGAAAAAATTCTCCTTCCTCAATCCCTTAATCTGCTGGCTGCCGCAAGCTTCACAAAATGTATTAATGAAAACAGAGGGGAATCAACGTACTTATTGATGCATTTGAATGTTTTTACTAGAATTATCAAACTCATTAATAATNAACCACAACTGAATGGCATTGTGGGTAATCTGATTTTGAATCAGATATGACCTATGATTTGACTAAAGGTGTACTTTGTCATTGTTCATTTGACTTTTGCATTTCTTATGATTATTCAGTGCAGACGATGACTATTGACCTTCCCATGATTCCTTGCGACCTTAGATTCAGTGATTTCACCTTTTTGAACCTTTATTTGGTGTCTACAGGATGTACTAAATCAGCGTAAAATTATTACCCAATTATAAACCAATTTCATCAAATATATCAATTCATTTTAATCTAAAAAAAACACGTGGACAACCAGTCGTGTTTATGGGGTTCCACAATACCTGAACGACTTTTAAAAAGACTATTAAATTCTCATTGATTKAGATATAAGTTTTCTTCTTTGCTGCCCAATCATCTCCAGTATGTCCATAGCTATGCCGGACAGATGACCACCACGGGACATAAGTACAGGACTTGCTTGCAAGTGTCCAGATTCATGATAGCATCTGGCCCAATCTCGCTCTTCAAAATGGCCACCAATTGATTGGAGTCGTATAAGACATTGTTAAGACAACGTGCTTTAGACAAAAGATCCATTGAGAACTGTTTATTAGTGCTTTATTAGCGAGTAAACACAKAACTTACACGATTTGTTAGCTTGCTTAAACATTGAAGAGTGTTTTTTTTATATATATCGCAGTCCAGTTGCGAGTTTAAACGAAWTTTTTTCTTTTAGTTTAACCCGCTCTGGACATCCTAATCATAAAAAGTGAACTGTTTATTTTGGGCTCAGTTAATAGATTTAAAGAAGGTTTTCTTCATTCAGGTTTATATTTGCCATTACTTRGATTGTATTATAATTATAGTATTAAGTATGATTCAAGACGGTTCTTTCTTGGCGTTAGTTTTTTGCTAATTCTTCAAGTCTATTAGTTTGACATGTTTTCATTCTAAWGTTCTTGTTGACATATCACTTATCAACGTTTGATCAATTCTTTTTTCCTTAAACACAGAAAACATCTCAATCATCTTTACCGATTTTAGTTCGAGTTTTTACTTCATCGTGCATGATACAAGGAAAGACTTTAAAGTACGTTTAGAGGCACTTGAAAAACGATATCACTTTCAGAATAGATTACAAAGCGTCTATTACAACTTTTTGACATCTATATATGCATGTCTTAGAAAACCTTTGTGTGTTATTCAGCTAATTTGTGGAATACACAAACCCAATTAACAGCGTTTACATAATGAAATGTTTGCCTCCCACTTTCTCTCTTGTTGTGTCTAATGCAATGTGTGCTCGATCTGGCTAGTATGATATTTGTGATCAATTGTTTAAGCATTCAAACAAGTCTTTTCATACTTTCACGGTAAATCAGTGCAAATATTGATCCCTTTATATCCTGTGGAGTTTCTTTAAGAGTTAACTCAAAAATGAGCAAAATATATAGGGATACGTGCTGACTGGATGGACAAGTAATTCCTTTCAAAAAGGGTGTGAGCTTTCTTTCCTACTCTTTTTTACGCGGTATGCTTGTGATTTCAAGCCACTTGAACCTTTTTAAAATTCTTTACCTGGCAACAGAGTTTCAATATCTGTATTTTCTAAATAAAGTCAAGTCAAATATCCAATCAAGGCTCAGGACTAATGTCTTTAGATTTTTGGTTTGTAACGTATCGATATTTAGGAAAGCTGGGTAAGTGTTCGTATAGATTTGTTTTTTAACTGTTTCTTTAGGACTGACACCGATGCAGCTCATGATACTTATCACTACTTTCCACTATTTTTTTTTTAATTGCTCCCCTAGAACTTTTTTAAGTAGTATTTAATAGGCAAATAATTAAAATTACATATAGCCGAAAAGATGAAGCTGAAGATTACGAGAAACATTTCTCCCTTACTTGGCCTAATCTAAGTTACAAACCGCGTCTTCGTGCCGAGTGAAAGTGTTGCACTGGAAAAAATCGCGCACCATAAAGGTTGTAAATTTGATGGAAATATGATGTAAGTGTCCAAAATGATGTAAATTTGATGGAAATCATTTACATCAAATTTACATCATTTTGGACACTTACATCATATATACATCAAATTTACAACCTTTATAGCGCGCGATTTTTTCCAGTGTTGTACGATGATCGGCAGACSCGATCGTAACCGGGCGAGGCAAGTGCGTTTGAAATTCAAACCAAACGAAATGGTTTGAAAGGGATTAAGGTGCAGATTAKCAAAGTACAGGAATTCAAACAACAATCGGCCATTATACAGAACGTTGAGATCCACGCGATTATGAAATGAGAGCGAAAACAAGTTAAAAAACTCTAATATCATCAGTAATTTCATCTTAGTACGTACACCTAATAAAAAAAGCATTTTAAAACTAGCTTTGCATTGATTTAGAGCGATAACTAAGTACTGCCATTTAAGCTTTGTCAAAAGTCGTGATTGGGTCGTTTTAGGTTCTATAGAAACTAAGGACTGAACTAAACTCCGCAAAGACCGTCTGGAATCATAGTTAGTAGAGGGCTTTGTAGGGGGAGACAGTCTACTAGCTATGCCAAAACTGACAAAATACAGCTCAGTCACTTTATAAAAAGTTGTATTCATACACTCGAAGAACAAAAAGATTAACATGGTCAAACTTTAATGAAAATTAGAGTGTGACTTTTCCGGGGCGTAGTGTACATCAATAGAGACGTGATGTACCGGGCGTACTGGCGCCCTTTGCTTTCAAGGACGTCCTCTTTTACCGAGCCTTGACTGTGGTWATGTGTTTACATATTGAGGACGCCCATCAAGGATGTTCGTTGATGATACTAGTGCATAAAAACTCATGGCGATTTTAAGATTCTTATGCTGAAAAAYCATGTGATCTTTGAACGTGACTTCCGTCGAGGAAATGTCGTAGTTGTGGTGCTTGACTACGTGTTACAAAAGGAAAAGAAAAAAAGCCTTTGCATTGTAAAAATGAGACATTATTGCTACTTGTTTGGTGCTGTGGACTTTATTGTCAAAAAACTGTTCTACTACACTAGKTTACTCGTGGATTGTTAACTCATTGAAAGCTAAAGCGCGCAAAGCCAGCAAGCTGGTCAGCCTATGTTCAACGTCATTGACATATGGTTAAATTCAGTATTATCATTATTTTATCCTTCCATGTATATTTTCGTTATGGAAATCATCGTTTAGCATGTGACTTAGGATTTTGGCTAGAGAGTCACGAGGAAAATAAGCGAGAAAACCGATTTCAAAGAATCCTTAATACTATTGTACTAAATCTGAGAACCAAAGAATCTGAAAATCTACAATGAACTACAAATTAGTGATTGATTCCTTGAATCATTTGTAACATATGTACACCYTAAATTCTATTGTATTTTACACCCCTTTTAAGGCGCCATAGAATACAGGGAACCCATTCGTCAAAGAAAKGTTCTCAAAGAGACTACTCGAAGTGTGGTTTGCTGAATTGAAAAAAAATCTATGAGACAACTTCAATCAATAATTAATAAAGTGTGTTGGATAAATCGTACATCAATGGTCGTATAATGTCAGGTTTTGACCTCTTTAGATTATTGTTATGATTTCTTGTACACGCAAAGTTGCTCAAACGAGAACTAATACTAGGGATTTCTTAATTGATTCAGATACGTAGTCAGTGGTAATTTTCAGACGTGCGCCCTTGACTTGAGAGATTTACTGTACGTTAAAGTAGGCACATCATAGTAAAGTACAGCACGTGTCTTAGTGATTTGTGATGGCCATGTGGTTGCCATTTTTGCAGCCCTACGACAAGTAGTCTCGTGAAGACACTGCTRTATGTCTGTTTTTTGACTATTTCAGAACTGCGCATTGTTAGAGATTGTGCTGTAGGTGTCGTTTAAAGAAATACGTAGAGACATGCAATGCCTATTTCTATTCAGTACTGTAAAATAAGAATTTTCAATATTTCTTTAAAATGTCATTATTGTGGCAATAATTATAAAGATCGTTTTACAAAAGTACCTATACATTCCATTGGTCTGATTGTACAACAGCGGACTATCAGAACACGTTGAAATTTAATCGCACGATGGCAGTAAATATCGTTATTTGATGAATCAGTACCTGATGCCATGCTTCGCTATGTCTATGCAGACCGCAATGTCTTGGGTCTTTTGTATGCATCTCTATATTTAGAGGCGTTGCAGAATGCACGTGACAAAGGCAAACATTACATGCGTTTATTGAAGTATAACCMCAGCATGACAAAGGAACCTTTTTAAGWCGCTTCTGAGAGTGTTGTATATATTACATACACGTTCTATTGCGAAACRCACCCAATGTGCTAAATATATKCCAGAACTGCGCATGCCCAACAAATACCACCATCAAAACAGGAACTAGATAAATACGTACACTTCGTAAAGGCACGTTTAAGGTTGGAYACTTTCAATGTTATTTTACACGTCSGKTTGCAGTACCATGAACTCTATTGTCAATATTCCTTATATTAAAGAATGTTTTGTGAAGGAATCGAAGGGAYCATAGTTAATGCTAACTATGAATGGACGAATAAAACTTATTGATTTTGTAATTGTAACAGTGACTTGTTTAACTATTGCGAACAGCAGACGTGGAAATACTAATGCTAACACTTAAACGTGCGATTTTCTTATTTAACCCGGCAAAGCGGCGATCAAATCCTTTGAGACTTACACAATTT